TCATCGATCAGCTGCCTCTTGCACACCCCCTACTGGGGATATGCCCGCAACCAAGGTACATGCCCTTGACCGGAATCGAACCCGGGACCTTTCAGTCCCCAAGCCGACGCTCTATCCATTGAGCCAAACCGGCTTCGGCCTTACCAGTTATTTTTTGCATTTGTTTACATATTTACTTGTTTTGCTTTATGTGGGTTAAAAGTATAATGGCATTATGAAGTTAATATCTTTGTCTGAATGCACCATTTAGATTTCCCCCTTTAATTAAAAAAGTGTATAATAAACTTACAATGAAAATAGACTCTCATACTTATAATGTAGTAAAACAGTAAGTTAATACTAGCTGCAAGTCTTGTCTTTAGTTGTAATATAATTTTTCATACAATTTTATAGACTCGGGAAACAGACTATGCCCAGGAGACCATGGACAAGCTTTGGAAGGTTTTGAAGAAAGGGATTCCAATGAGAAGGCTGTTATAATCATTTAAACAAGGGATAGGAGCCTCGCAGGTGGGTCAATGACATGGGGAAAAGTGACTAATTTACAGAAGAAGTATCAACAAGGATTCCTCAATAACAAGATACATGAAGAGAATGGAAGATATTGTAAGTGCCTCCTGAATCCTGAGTCCAGGTAAATTAAAGAATGGTGGAGAGAGAAGTTCTTGAGAGAAAAATGAGGAGTTTAAGGTAGAACATAGACTCTGAAGGGATTTAGGACATCCACTCTGAACATATCCAGTACTTAGATAACTTCAGAGAGGCCAGGAGTATGTGTGAGAGTTGGTAAGATGTCTTGGCACTTTTCCAGGGATGGGCCTCTGAGGTGATTAGAATGGACTTGACCAGGTGGGGGCAGCAGAGCATCACCAATGGTTGGGGACAACGAGCCAGGACAGGGACAGGGACAGAGAGCTACTTTTTGGACTGAGCCTTTGGATACATTCCCATTTGGGGGCGGAAAGAATTAAAGGCAGCTAAGGATACAGATGTCAGGGGACCCTAGGGGTCAGGCCACCTGGATGACAAACCCGGAAAGATTTCTAGTAGATCTGGAGAAGGTAGGTGTGTGAGCAGAAGCAAGTGACTAGTGACTTTGAAGACAGTGATTTTAGAGAAGTACTGAGGACAATGATAGATTAAAAGAGATCAAGTGGGGAATGAGAATGGAGATGAAGAGATGCATTATTTTTTAAAAGACTGTCAATGAAGGAAGCATAGTGATAGGAAGGTAGTTTGAGGGGAGGCAGAATAGGTGGAAGGATATTTTCCCCCTCCATTGTGAATTATTCTTTTTAAAAATATATATATTTTATTGATTTTTTACAGAGAGGAAGGGAGAGGGATAGAGAGCTAGAAACATCGATGAGAGAGAAACATCGACCAGCTGCCTCCTGCACAGCCCCCACTGGGGTTGTGCCCGCAACTAAGGTATATGCCCTTGACTGGAATCGAACCCAGGACCTTTCAGTCTGCAGGCCGATGCTCTATCCACTGAGCCAATCTGGTTCAGGCAATTCTTATAAATGTTTATGAACTGAATGGAATACTTTCCTGAAGAGAATAACTGGAGGTGCCAGTGAGAGAAAAAAAGTGAGGGGACCATTATGAAAGCACCTCTCAGAAGAGTTGGGATATAATCAAGAGTTCTAGGGGAAGGCTTGGTTGCAGGAGGTTAGGAAGGAAGAAGATAAAGGTGAAGATAGTTTGTGGATCTTTATTAAGAACGCCCACTTCATATACGTAAGTTGTGTTCAGAATGTTTGTTATTTGGAAAGCTTAAGCCATTTCCTCAGAGGAACACTGTGCTGCAGTGGATGTGATGCAGGAAGTGGGATGATTCTGGAGAGAGCCCTTCAAGACAGCCCCCCGGTTATGAATCACCTTCCGCTTCATAGATGTGAATATAACCCAGAGTTATTAATACGTTATTCCTCTTTTCACTTTTACATTCTCTTCCTCAGAGAACACTTTTACTTTTATGATTTAAAATAGTGTCAGCTATAGGAAAATCTTTCTCGTTGTTACAGGAACTCTTTAGTGTCGAAGTATTGGCTGTTCAGCAGTCAGTTTTTAACTTTGTGCCTTAATAGGTTGGGTACTTTACCCAGAATCCAAAGGTCTTTTTTTAAAATGTATATATTTTTATTGAATTCATAGAGGAAGGAAGAGGGAGAGTTAGAAACATCAATGATGAGAGAGAATCATTGGTTGGCTGCCTCCTGCACGCCCCACTGGGGACCAAGTCCACAACCTGGGCATGTGCCCTGACCGGAAATTGAACCTCTTGGTTCCTGGGTTGACACTCAACTCCTGAGCTTTTCCAGTCGGGCCATTTGTTTTTGTTCGTATTCACTGATTTCTCTACTCTTTGACCTCAAAGTTCTCTCTCTGGTTGTTAAAAACACTTCCCTAGCAGTCTCTTCTGTCTGCATTTGTGCAATTGCTGTGCTGTTCTTCCCTCTGGGTGTGAGTATATTGTGGCGATTATATTTTGTGTGCCCCGACAGGCTTAGGTGATGTGCTCCATATCAAGTTGTGAAAGGTTCCCCCTCTCTTTTTAAATAGAATCTTTTCAAAGCACTCATTTCAAAGTGGTTACCTATCCGTTTCTACTTTTACAGAACATTTTGAAGGGAATCTGGGAGAAATCATGATTAGACTAGTAAAATTGGAAGGCAGAGAGAATGACCTAATCCAGCTCTTTGACATGTGAGAAAACCCAGGCACAGCGTGGTTGAGTGACTTGTCAAATAACACAAAGGAAAAGAAAACATATGAAGGAAGGATAGAGGAAAGGCCTGCACAGAGTGTACCGATCTGGATGTGTGGCAAGGAATTTCTTTTCAGTTCATGGCTATTTTGACCACAAGATAAAAAGTGGTCAGCCTAACCTGGGAGGTCAATGGGGAGTTTTAACAAAGAGAAAGTTTTGTCTACAAGACATATTCGCTGTCCAGCCCATTGGAAAAAAAAAAAAAAAAAAGTCACCTACAATTATTCTCGCCATTATTGCTTGATTTCTCACCTCAAGGCATAACCATACCACTACATCTTGGCTTCTCTCTCACCCATCATTTGCCATTTCTGAGCACCAGCTGTCCAGTGCTCTGTGGACCTTTTCTCCTTTTAGGCTGAATTACTTCTTTTATTGTTACTTTTTTTTTTTTTTTTATTAATTCATTGGCAGAATGTTTTTTTTCCACATTTTTATAAGAACCTTAGCTCTAAAAGAAGTATTTATTATACATGTACTTTAACCCCAAAGGAAACCAGAAAAAAGCAAACTGGAACAAGAAATTAATTTTTAATTTACAGGGATATTAAGAGATGAAGTATGGTTAGAAAAAAATTTCCTGAAGTAAATACCACACTGCTGGTTAATCCTTGTCCTTCATGTGGTTTGTCATAATACCAATTTAAATTCATTTTTTTTAAATGGTCTGTGTCCTTTTAAATAAATATTTTTTCCTAAATTTAAGCAAAATGAAAAAGTCCATTCAAGGTAATAAATATTAAGAGTGCTTACTCTTTGTAAGGCACTGTGGTAGGCCCTGAATAGGATAATATAAAATGAGTAAGTCGCTGCCTTTGGTAGTGGGATACCTGTCTTTGTCTTTCAAAAAGTTTGCACAGGCAAGTCTGGGGTCTGGGAGGGAATCTCCGTGATTCCTACACTCGTGCCCCTTTATCACCAACAGGTCATGAGCCACCAGATCCTCTTAAAAGTCACAAAATCTCTGACCTAATGGGGTTTTCCTTCTAGGGTCGTGGTGGGGGAAAACAGATAATAAACAAGTAAAATATTTAAGTGCTATGGAGTGAAATAAAGCAGAGAAGGGGGTAAGGGAGTTCTTGGCATGTGGCAATTTCAAATGCACTTGCCAGGGAGGATGTCATCAGAAAGGGGTAATGAGAGGGAACAGCATGCACCAAGGCCCTCAGTTGGGAGTGTGTCCAGGCAGTTCAAAGATGAACTGGGAATAGAAGGTCAGCGTGGCTGTCACTGGCCAACCAGGGACAACACCATAGGAGAAACTTTAGAGAGCTAAGAGTGGAGAGACTTTGGGTTTTACTCTAGTGAGAAACCGCTGGAGGGTTTTGTTGAGCAGAGGAGTGACATCTGATTTACAGTTTAGGTGGAAAATGACCGGGGTTGATCATGGCAGGAATCCAAGGAGCCACCGCATTGTCCAATTAAAGAGACCATGGTGGAACAGGAATTGGTGGGAATGGGTGAATTCTGCCCATTTTGTGGGTGGAACTATCAGGATTTGCTGAAGGACCAAAGGTGTGACCGGACAGAACTAGGCCGGGTTGCTGTCAGCTTTGGAAACCCACCACACCCTCAGCATCACCTCTGCACAAGGCGCACATTTGTAAACGTCCCGATTCGACTTTTGCATCTCAGACTAATCAGAATCTCCAGCCTCCTGGCCCCGGAAACAATTCTTTTAAAATGACTCCCAATGTTTTTTTTGTTTTTTTGTTTGTTTTTGTGCACAGCCAATTTGACTTCAGGTAATGAAACTGGCTCCGGCTCACTTGAATTACTTGAAAGAAGTCACTGCTTCAGGAGACAAACGAGGAGCCCAGCACTGTGCAGAGTATGAGCGTTGGTAGGCTCCTGGATGGACAGATCAAGCCCACTGGAATCCCTCTGGCATCGAGGTAAGCATGGCAGGCTTCCTGGAGGAGGCTGACTTCGGAGAAGGCTTTCTCAGGCCTTTCTCAGGGGGGCAGAGAGGAAGATGAGTGTAAAGGATGATGGGGTGTGGCTGTGGAGTGACCACTGGCTCAGGCCGATTGTGTAGTTGGCGTCGTCTCTCATCCGGACGTTGCCCTTTCGGCGGCTCCGACCCGACTCCACGCCCCGCCCGGACAAGCAACCAGTCGATGCCCCGGGGCCCCGCCTGCCGTCGTAGCTCCGTTTCCGGAAGATCCTGATTTCAGGGCGGACCAACCCGGGAAGGAGGTCGCACGCCCACTTCCGCCCGGCGCAGGGCTCGGGGCTCCCGGGTCCCAGTGCGCAGGCGCGGTCTGCGGCCCGAGGCCCACGCGCGGCGCGATGCCGGCGGCGCACGTCGCCCGGGTGCGGGCGCTGTACCGGCGCCTCCTGCTGCTGCACCGCGCGCTGCCCCCCGACCTCAAAGCCCTGGGCGACCAGTACGTGAAGGACGAGTTCAGGCGACATAAGGCGGTGGGCGCGGACGAGGCCCGGCGGTTCTTGCAGGAATGGGAGGCAAGTGCTGCCCCCTTTTCTCCGCCCTCCACCTCCAGCGTCCCCCCTCTGCCCCCCACACCCCCAGGTGTCCCGGTTTGTTCCCGTGGAAGACCGCCTGTCCCACCTGACTTTCCCACAGCCTGTTCCGCCTGCGTTAAACTGTTCAAAAGGCGCAAAGCTGTTCCAAAGTTATCCCCCAAGTGGCATCCCCAGCCCGCCCGTTTCTCCCTCCCGATCCTCGCCGGACCAGGTGCCGGACCCCGGCGTCTGCAGTTCATTGGGGCCGAGCGAGCTCCTAACTATGGGTATTTAGGACTTTCCTAAATTTAAAACACTGAGGCATTAAAAACAGTGGGTGTTAGATGTCAGGAGCTTGCCTGGAGTCAGGGAAGTTGAATGTTCCTCTCTGAAGAGATGGCTGAAGTGTGTGCGGGCGCCGCTGGGATGGGAAGGGAGGTTACAAAAGGGAATCAATCACCGTCAGGTGCTGGGGAGCTGAAGTCTCGCACCGAGCAAGCAAGCGCCTGTGAGTAAACGAGTGGTTTTGTCAGTACCCCTTAAGTTTGCAAACTTAGAGGCTTGTTTCCATAATGACTATATATATATATTTTTAAACCTCAGTGTACCTTAATAATGTACTCAGTTGACTGATAGAGAAATCAGGTAAGCCTGGGGAAAAAGGCTGGTCGATGAAGTCAGGTGAAAGCTGGTTTCTCCTGAGTCTCGGGGGTCACGTTGCCCTGCCACACTTTGCATTACATTTAATTGCATTACATTTGTTTTGTTTTGTTTTATTAAATTATTATCTGTGTACATATACCATTGCTCCCCCCCCCCATACGTGTCCTCCCTCCCCAGAGTTTTGTGTCCATTGGTTGTACTTATATGCAAGCAGACACATGCATTAGGAGTTAATCTGTTGACCTCCCCCCCCCCTTTTTTTTTTTAATGAAGGGAAAGGATATTCAGAGTATTGGGTGGGGTTCAGGATCCTCTAGGATTGCCCCTAGTTCTGATTTGTAAATATCAAGAAGTGAGTGGAATTGGAGATTCCAGCGACATCTCAGGTATCTGAATGCATGAAGCAATGTTTGTAGAACAGAGATGAGTGATTCTTCAGCCTAAAATGTCGATGATTGAAGAGATGACTGAAGGCTGTTTTTTAAAAAAAAAATCATAAAGGTTGGTGGGATGAACACACAGCCTTGTTACTGAATCCCAGAATTCGTGATTGTGGAGTCTTCGAGGCTTGCAAGAGAGGCATTTAGGACAAAGATAGAATTTAGAATTTCCTAAATATCATGGGTACTAGATGTCAGTAACCTGCCTGGAGTCAGGGAAGTTGAATGCAGACTAGTATCTTTTAAGATGGTAACTTGGTCTTGGAGCCAGAACTGGATTCAGATTCAGGTTCTGGCTTTTATTAAATATGTCAGATCACTTCATTTTTCTTGTCTTATTTCCTTGTCTGTGAAATAACAGTAGTTGCAATATATGCCTCTAAATTTTTGCATGTAAATGTTTTTAAAAGCACTTTGTAAATTGTTAATGGCAATGTAAGTTAAGGTTTTTAAGTCACATCTTTCAAGCCAGGCCAGTTTGAGGCAGGACAAGGGGAGAGTCTAGCTCTGCGTTGGGAAGAAGTAAAGACATTTGGAGAGGTCCTAAAGTGTAAGAACTTGGAAGCTCTTTGGGAAGGAATAGGGATTCGGTATAAATTGGTAGTCTGGAGGAGAGACTGAGGCATTAAAAACACTGGGTAAGTATAACATGTACTGCTCAGCCTAGGTGGCTTGGTATCAGGAATTCAGTTTTTCCTGTGGGTTTTTATCCCCTCCTTAACTCTCTTGGAAATTATTTTAGACTTGCAGAAGTTATAAAGACAGTGCAGAGTTCCCACGTCTTACACTCAGCTTCCCCTTGAGTTAACGTTTTATACAACCAATAATTGAAACTAAGAAATTAACATTGCTTCAGTACTGTTAACTACAGTCTTTATTCACATTTTGTCCATATTTCCACTAATGTTCTTAATGTGTTCCAGGATCCTACATTGTATTTAGTTATCCTATTTCCTTAGTTTCTTTTAGTCTATGATAGTTCCTCAATCTCTTCTTACCTTTCATAACTTTCTTGAAAAGTTTTGGTCAGTTATTTTGTAGAATGCTTTTCAATTTGGGTTTGTCTGATGTGTTCCCTTATGCGCATTATTGGGAAGGGTCCCACCAGGACGACCTGCCTTCTCAATACATCAGGTCAGAGGGCACATTATGTCCATTACTTATTACTGGTGATGCTAACTGTGATCACTTGGTTAAGGTGATATATGCAAGTTTCTCCACTATACAGTTGCTGTTTTCCTTTTTGAAATTAACCCTTTGCACTCCGAACCATTCTGGACATTGGCTACCAGCTACTCGACGCTACTTTGCGGCGGACACATGCGTTGAATTAACTCAATTCCCCGTAATCACTAATAAACTGCAATGTCCCCCCTGAGAGGGGACATCCGAGTGACATGCTAGAATTCCGATGTCCCCTGAGAGGGGACAGCGGAGTGCAAAGGGTTAATACATATTTGGGGGGAGATACTCTGAGGCTGTACAGATAATCCTGTTTCTTCTCCTTAAATTTGGCCAACTAATTTCAGTATTCACTGATGGATCTTGCCGTTGTGTTCCAATGTGACTTTGTTTCTCTCATTTATTCTGAATTTATTAATTGGAAATGTTTCTGTAGGGAAGCACTGTCCCTCCTTCTCTGTTTTTGATCTAGCATTTTTACTTAAAAAAAAAAAAAATGAACAAAAGTGTTTTCCATGGGGCTAGAATTCTATTGTTAGCAATTGGGTAAAGGTAAGTTAAATCTAATTATCTATTTGGATAAAATAATAGCTCTCACAATTACAAGGCACCTCAGTCTAAGTGTGGAATTAGAATAAAGTAGGGTGGATTCTACCAAGAGAGCCCATTTCTTTTTTCCAAGGATGAGGCTAGAGAAGATTCTAATGACTTGGAGGGGAGAAAAACCTGGCTAGGGCAGCAGTACGAGGAGCATATTCCTCGTTCGGCCTTCTAAGCTGTTTTCCCCTTGTGTCTTCAGAACATCTGATTTATGATTATCATATTGGTGATACTAGTTATGGGATAGACTTCTGTTGCTTTTGGTAAATGATGATTATAAACTTGGTACATTATCTGAGTATTATTACAAGCTTGATGCTTACATTTATATCAAGCTAATTGAGAGTGACATAATTAATTATGATTATAAACTTGGTACACGTTATCTGAATCTTACAAGCTTGATGCCTATGTTTATGTCATGCTAGTTGAGAGTGGCCCAGTTGTGGACTTACTGTGCTTCATGGAATTGGTCTCTGGGATTCTCTCACACATTTCTGAAACTACTTATGAATTTAATGGATTCTGAATGTGTTTTACTTAACGGGCAAAGTTGGGTACCACTGGGGAAAGAGAAAGGGGAAGGATTGGGAATATTAGAGGCCACAGTATTAGGAGGAGAGTTTTGTATTCCGTTGATTTGTCGTCACGGACAACTGTGGCCAATATAAGAGGGAATTCAGCTGGGAAGTTTTTGTTCAAGAACCATTTGGGATAGGTAGGAGAAAACTGTTTCCTTTTATCCTTAGGATAAAACTGTAAATGCATATTTACAGAGTAAATAGTGATTTTATAGAATTCTTTACCTCAAGAGAAAGATTGTGAATTCAGGATGAGATGTTGAGAATCTGTTAGGGAGAACGTTTGATAACTGGTTGGTAAAATATCTATTCTGATCTTACTCTCAAGTCTTGTAGGAGGCAACTATTGGAAGTGGAGTTGGGGCTGGGTAGCTCGGGGGTCTTTTTTATTATGGCATTTAAAGTGTTAACTAGCCCAGTTTTGGAGTATAGCTGATTTAGACAGTGCATTCCTTTTTTCTCCCTGTGCCCACCCAGTTGTGGAGAGAAGAACTTAACTTTCTGGGAAGTCATAATAGGCATTGAAAATAAATAGCAAGTAAAACATATTTGTGATAGGATGAGACAGAGTAGGAAACAGTGAGCTCCCAGGAGCTGCTCTGGAGAGACTCCATGTGTTTACTTTTCTCTTTCTGTCCCATTTGTTTGTGTCTATTGCTTTCTTAACTGGCTTCTGTGCTTTTTCTTAAATGGCTGCTTTGCTCTACATCTATTGGGGGATGTTTATAGAGGAAGTTCTGTTTCTGGGAAAATGTAAAAAGGTTTAAACATTCTATAAATAGTTATTGGTCACTTATTATTGCTAGTCACGTGGGACACAAAAATGAATAATAACTTTTATTTTCATGGTGTCCAAAATTTAGTAGAATATAACCTACAATCCTATATAATAAAAGGGTAATATGCAAATTGACCCTAATGATGGAACAACCAGAACAACTACTTGACCAGTCACTGTGAGGTGCATTGACCACCCCTTGGTCCCTTTCCCTGGCTGGCAGGCTCCGATTGCCCACTGTGGAATGGGGAACTGGGGGTGGGTTGTGGGGAATTTGGGTGGTGCCAGACCAAGGCCTTTGCCCCACCAGTTGCCCCCCACACAGAGGGCAACCTGCAGCAGGGCAAGGGCTGGCAAGCAGACAGGAACAGCTGACCTGTTGGTCCCTTCCCCCGGCTGTCAGGTTCCAATCACCAGAGGGCCAATGGGAAACCAGGAGTGGGTGGTGGCAGGGGTGGGGGGAGGAGAGGGAAGGGGAGAAGCAGTTGAGGGCAGCTGGGGAAGATGGCCCTGATTGCAGGCCAGGCTTAGGGTCTGTACCCACACATAAATTTTGTGCTCTGCAAATCGACCGAACGGTGGAACAACCAATCACTATGATGCATGCGACCACCAGGGAGCAGATGCTCAACGCAGAAGCTGCCTCCTGGTGGACAGTGTGCTCCCGCAGGGAGAGCGCTCAGCCAGAAGCTGGGCTCATGGCTGGCGAGTGCAGCACTAAGGATGTTTGACTGACAGCTTAGGCCTGCTCCCCAA